CAACTCTTGGATAATTCTGAGTATTAGAGATTTTAATTCCCTATCAGGTAGTTCTACTGCTTTTTCTTCCACTGGAAAATAATCTGGTATTTTATTTCAGATGCCTACTGGAACAATCCTGTCTTCTTTTTATAAATGTTTTGCTACTGTCTGCTGTCTTTGGGACATTCAGTTGTTATTTTTCTTGTTTATTGACTGTAGATTTGTTTATTTCATCTTTTTTTTTTTTAATTTGGCTATGTCTGAGCAGGCGGGCTGTGTGTTCTTTGTTGTTTGCTTGTCTATAGGCACGATACTTTTCACCTCTTTCTCCAATTGGCAGGGTCATTCGCTCACATATGGTACAGCGAGGCAGGTCTAGCTGAAGAGGAGTTGCTTGGATGAGTTGTTTGTGGCACTTACTACAACCACCAGGGTGGACTGGTAATCAGTTCAGGGCAGGTTCTGGTAGGCTGTGACTGTACTGCCTGGTGGTGTGATGTTAATTGTATGGTGCAGGTAGGCAGGATGGAGACGGGAGATTGTGATGTGTGGATCTAATATGGGTATGGGAGAGAAGAGAGAGGAACAGGGGCCAAAAAACATACAAACAAACAAAAAAGAGTGCTAGGGGAGCTTGCCATTGGACTGGTTGTTTTTGGTACTTATTGCAGCCACCAGGGCGGGTTGGTAATCAGTGCAGGGCAGGTGCCGGTAGGCCATGCCTGTGCTGCTTGTGCTGTGATGTTAAGCTCATGGTGTAGGTAGGCAGGATGTACGGTGGAGATTGTTATGTGTGGAGCCAAGATAGATATGGGAGACAGGAGAGAAGAACAGGAGCCTAAAACATACAAACAAAAAAGAGTGCTAGGGGAGCTTGCTGTTGGAGTGGAGAGATGAGAGACTATGAAATGGGGAAAAACAAAAAGCAGAAGAAAAAGAAAAGAATGAATAAATAAAAATCATAAAGGAAGAAGAATAGCAAAGCTCCCAGGAATCCCACTGGTGTGGCTATGAGGTCTGGGGAAGTTGTTGTCAGGTGTTGCAGTACAGCCTGGCTAGCAGGCTTAGAGGTATTTGGTGCCAGGTATTCAGGGAACAGAAAGAGAAGGAAGGTATAGAGAGTCGAGAAACTGAGTAATGAGGAAAGACAAAAAGGGAAAAAGAGGGAAAAGAAAACAACACAAATGAAAAAAAAAAAAAAGAACAAGAAAAGCCCCCCCAAAACAGGAAAATAAAACCCAAGAAAAAAGAAAAGCCCTCAGGGATCCCTCTGCGCATCTGCATAAGCTGAGGGGATAGGTCCCAAGCTGCACAGCACCGTCTGGCATGAACGGGCATCCAACTCAAGAAAAGGAAAAGAAAACAAACAAACAATTCAAAACAAACAAACAAATAAAATCCCCGGGATCCCACCAGCACAGCAGCCCAGACCAGGAAGCACTTCCACACTCAAACAGAACTCTGCAGCCCCTCATGAAGAAGCAAAGATGGCACAGGGAGCGAGGTATTTGAGTGAAAGGAGGGGGAGGTGGTGAGAGGTAAGGAAGAAATCAAAACAAGTGGAAAAAAGCAACATCAGCAGCCAATAAATGGCACTCAGATAGCCACCGTTTGCTGGCGGGTGGAATCCAAGCAGCCGGTGCTTCCCAGACAAGAGACTGTGACTGTGGGAAGCAGAGGAGGCTGAGTGGGGGTGAAGAAGGGTTTGGGGTTTTAAAGTATATATCACAAATTACCAGTTGTTTTGTCTCGCAATGGAAGCTTCGTGAAGCTGCTTTCTCGTACCCCCTATTTGCTGGTCTCTGATAGGAATCCAAGATGGCAGATAGGCACTGCGTTAGCTGATTGGGGACCTCTGTATGCCTCTCTCCTCACTCTCCATTCTCTGTCAGTTTTCTCACTCCATTTGGTGCTTGGCTGAGTGCTTTATCTCTTCGTTTGATGTTTTAGGGTTTCAGGATGACTGTTTTCTCTGGCTTAGTTTTTCGGATCGTTGCTGTGGAGGGACGGCGTGGTGCTTCTGCCTTGAGCACCACTTTGCAGGAAGTGTCTTTGGTTTTTTAAAGATTCATGATATAGTGCCTAGGTGTAATTTTTTTTACAAGTATATTTACCTTGCTTTTGTTTTCTTTGCCTTTTGAATCGGTAGATTGACTGCTTTTTATCTGTTTGGAGTAAACCTTAGCCACTGTCTCTTCAAATAAATGTTCTGCTCATTTCTTGTTTTCTCTTTCCTTGGGACTCAAAAATGTTTTATACTTTCTTACTATAACCCCTTTGTCTCAGATTCCCATCTATGTTCTTTCCAAACCGTTGTTTCTCTAGTAACCATTCTAAATATTTTCTACTGACCTGTCTTTCTTTTCACTAATTCTTCAGCTGCTTCTAATCTGTTGTTAAAGACAACTATTGTGTGTGTGTGTGTTTAATAAGATATGTATGTTTTAAATTTCTATTTGGTACATTTTAAAATCTGTTAGGTAACTTTTAGAGTTTCATTTAATTTGATGAATGTTTCAAACTTTTATCTTATCTTTTTGCACAGAGAATGTATAGTTAATTTAATGTCTGTATCAGACAATTCTACTACCTGGAAATGCCTGAGTGTTAGATTCTGTTATCTATTATTATATAGCCCATGCTTTTCTCCCCCTGTGTTTAATGTTTAGTCATGATCTTGTTCTAGATATTGTATTTTAAAGAATTTTTGTGAAAATAATTTGAGACATAGTATGATACTATCTTCCTATGAAGGATTTCATGTTCTTTAGTGAGGAATCCCATACTCTTTAGCTAGGAGTCTGGAAGAACTGTAAATTATGATAATCAAAAAGCATTTTAAAGACGGCATTTTTGAGTCTATTCACATGACTCAAATCTAGGTTTCTGTCCTTGCAAGGGCTCGATGACTTCTCTCTCAACCTTGTTAAGATGCAGCCATTTGGAATCCTAAATACAATCAGACCCTGTTTCCTAAGTCCTCCACACTGGCAACATCCTGGACTTTAACATTCTCTCCTAAACCTGTGAGACTGTAGAAGTAGCTCAGCCTCTCATTTGCCATTTCTGGATTAGGAAATGCCCTTAAGACAAAACTTGACCTCACATCTGTGTTTATTTCTCTTGATTTCTATATCATGATATATTTTGCCTGGTAATTATTTACTACCTTGTTAAATATGTAATAGTTTAAGGAAATTTTTAAAAGTATTTTGTCCAGATTTCCAGGTGGACTTCAGTTGATGTGTTGTCTCAACTTCCCAGTATACAATTACTTGAAATGAAAACTAATTATACCCTACTCACTTAAATATTAATTAACTCTATTATTCTGACACATTCTGACTCCTGTAGCTAACTCAATCATTTTTTTTTTCCTTTATGGGATGGCTAGCTAGTAATTTACATTTATTCTTTTAAAATTAAGATGTTCTCTTTTTAAGCATCTACCTTTCATATAAACAACACAAAATAATCAATTATCATAGCTGGTTCTTATTATATTGTTATGAACCAAATGAAATCTCTATGAATAGTTCCTAGGTGGTGTAAATGTCAAACCATATATTAGTAACGTAAAATATTCAAGAATACATTACACAATTAAAACAGCAAGAGACCTTGGTTCAAATTTTAATTGTAATATATAGCAAGTTTTCTTCATTTGGTAAGCTAATTTATGTAAATCACAGTTTCTTAATTTGTTACAGCAGGGCCTTTGTTAGAAGTTTATCGTGAGACTTAAATGGATATAATTAGACAATGGACAATATCAATTATTTTTAAGAGGTAATATAATATAGTGGAAAAACATAAGATCTGAGATCAGACATCTGATTTCAAATTCTGGTAATTCCACTTGCATTCTTATTAGTCAGGTATTATCAGTTATGCTGCATAACAAACCACCCCAAGATTCATTAGAATGCAACAATTGCATGTATTTCTTTCTGCAAATTAACTGGCTGTTTGGCTAACCTAGGCTGGGGTCGTCTGGGTTTGTGTTAAGGCAGTAGGTTGGGCTTAAATCTGCTTTACATATTCCTTATTTTCTGCCAATAGGGACTACTTTGGATCTGTTATTTTAATGGCAACAGCAGAAGTACAAGATTCCAACCACAACTCTGCTGTGTAATGACCATTAATATTCTATTGGTCAAGGCAAGTCATATAATAAAAAAGTGAGTCAAGGATCAGGAAAGAACATTCTGCCAACCATAAAACATAAGTAAATGTCATGATGTGGCAAATATAACTCCTCCCATATACTTCTACCACATAGAGTTGTGTTGAGGGATATATTAAATGCCTCATGAATAAATTGTGAGGATTTGTATGCTCATGTGATGGATGCCTGTGTATGTATTTGAGGCTCACAAAAGTGAAATTATGGAAAGAGAGGACTGGCTTACCTTGCATGAATTTTCTTTTGGAGATTGATCCACCTATATTTAAAAGCTAGACGCAAAAGAGTTGGTGTCACTGCCGTTCCGTATATGAATAACTCTAGCATAATCTATACTTATCTTAGATCAGTTTCTAAAAGGAAGGGCTTTAAATCCTACCTTGAAAGGCACAAGCAAGTGTGGTTTACCTACTAATGGTATTCACACAAGATATTCATTTTTGACGTATCTCTTTTATCCACTTAAAGATTCTGTCTTGGGAACACGTTCCAATATAATAAAATGTCACTAATCAGGAAACTGCCAGGTTGAGTCAACAAATCCTTTACAGAGAAATATTTTTAAACTAGGAAATGGTAGAGTGGGGAATGTAATTCATTTCAGGCTGGATCACATAACTAAACACTTGGAAAATACTCATAGTCATATTATCAGCTTTAATGAGGAGTTGTTATTCACTTATTGTATACAAATATGGCTTAATATACTTTTTTGCTTTAATTCACTTGCTATTTTTCTAAGAGATTAAAATACAATGAACTATGCATACAGCACATAAGACATCTAAAGTGAGAATGTTGTGACAGTTAATGATTTTCAATTTCCTTGTAGATAGTCTACATGGGCTGGTGTGAAGCACGGGAGCAGGAACCCCTTCAGGACAGGATGTATTCTCCAACGTTTCTCGCCCTGAGAGGCTCGAGTCTTTACAAGTTTTTGGCACCTCCAGTAAGTATTTCTATTGAATCTTACTTATTGTCTCATGTTGACACAACAACTTGACATCTACTAAACAATAATTCATAGCATACCACCAATGTATTTTGAATTTCACATACAGGAAAAAAATAGAAATTAGTCAAAACGTTTCTAAAAATATTATTCTAAAAATATGACCTAGTCTTAAACAATTGCTTTATCAACCTTGAATAATCTACAAGTATATTTCTGTTTAGATAGTATATCTGGAAAATAATGGACCTAATTATAATATTGTTAAGAGTCTTATGCAGACTTTGGAAAAGAGATTTTAAGAAATATTTGTAAACATGTAACACCTTATTTTGTTAATTAGTTAATAAATATTAGGGGAATGGGTATATAAAGAGAAGACTAAAAGTAGAATAACCAGTTCTAAAGATTTGCTGTAGATGATAATATGTTTATCTATCTCTCATCATCAAAAGAAACTTGAAGAGACTTTTAAATTTATTTGACACTTTTAATTACTTGTAGTAAGCTTTACATCTTACATTTATTATTAGCAAGTAATAATTAGTGAACATCAAAATGATAGCATCATGGACTGCGTTAGTGTTGAGTCTATTCCAACCTTAGCCAAAGTTCTGTGAGTTCAAAGTTTAGATTACAGGATTTTCCTTTGCAAAAATCAAAACTGCATCCTGGTATCTATTACTATGACACTTAAAATATGTTTATCCATGTGTAACTAGTCTTTCTAAGTCAAATCAAGAATATGTTTGATGATGTCTTATAGTCTATGTTATAGCCAGAGGACTTTTCACTAAATATATATGGGTACCTATTACACCTAAGGTCTTGCTTTTGGAAGCATGTACCTGGCACAACAGTAGACCTCAAAAATATTTATTTAATATAAATAGCAAATGTCAGACTTCTCACTTTGCATGTCTAATCATGCACAGGGTCTAGGAATTATCAAGCCTGACTTACTGCTATTTTGAATATCTGTGTCTACAAAAAGTTCAAAGCACCAGGGAGTCAGGAAAAAATAATATTTTAACCTGTTCCTACTGTGAATAATTTCTTAGGACTAGACAGAGAGATATATGTTCCAAACATAAATACATGAAATGACTTCTTGGTGCTTTCATACTGCACCTGATGGCTTTTTTACATCATAACAGGACAAACTCAATATAAATTTTGTGTTTTCTTAAAAAATAAAGCCAGGTTGATATCTAGTGCTCTTATCTGTGTGTACCTGGTGGTAAACTGAGAAAAAATTACCTGTGTAGAATATAAATGCTTAATATTATATGTATAAAATATACACATTATTTAAAATACAGAGAGACATTGGGTATACAATTTAAATTTTTGCTGAAAGACTTGAAACAGTGATATGGTTTAAAACAGGAAAATCAAAACATTACGCATGGACATTTTTTAGAATAATTTCACAGTTGAGAGACTAAATAGATACACCTATGAATGTTTCACTTATTATGCACCATATTAAGCAAATAAGACAAACAGGGAAATATGGGCTATTTGTCTAAAATTAATGACACTATTTTCTCATCTTTAAAGGTCACCATCTGGGACTGGACTCGAGCTGAGAAAATTTTTTCCATTTATGAAATTATGTGCAAGATTCTCAAGGTATGAACAATAAGTACTAATTATTTTAACGATATCTTCTCAGCAAACAGTGGTTCTCGGCATCTTATGTAGCTTGTAAAAACAGGAAAAGACCAATAGAGAGAATTCAGAGCATGTTCAGTACCTCATAGCGTCTCAGTTAGCTTTCACGCATATTCTGCAATCCTGCAATAGGAGGGAGATGAGCAGAATCTTGGTGGGAATCCATAGAGGAAGGAGTAGAAAGTTCAGTTGGAAATAGTCTGAATTTAAACCACAACTGTTACCATAGTTTTTGTTTGTTTGTTTTGCTGATTAAAGTAGGGAAATAATTGGATAAATCCTGGGATTAGAATATGCAGAAAATATAAAGTCAAATGCAGATAAAAGTAATGTATTTTTATCTTGGGGTTAACCATCTCTTCAAGTGTGCAAAAGAACACAAAATTGTTGTAAGTCAAATTGCAATGATATACACAGGATTGTTCCCTTTTTCTAAAAAAAAAAAAAAAAAAAAATTCCAAAAAATTATTTTATAAACAAAACCAAAAATTGCCATTATAACCATATTTTATTTTGTAATTTATATCATTTTTTGTTGTTGTTGAGAATGTACACAGCAGACCATAGACCCATTCAACAATTTTTACATGCAGAATTCATTGACATTGATTACATTCTCCAAGTTTTGCAACCATTATCACTCTCTTTTCCAAATTGTTTCTCCCTCATTAACATAAACTAATACTATGTTTTAAACATAAACTCCCTAAGTTTCCTATCTAATCTTTTGAGTTGTTTTTGTCAATTTGACTTCATATATAGTTCTTAAAAGAGCACAATGCTCAAGGCAGGCATTCTTTACCAATTTAGCTAAACTGTTGTTTGGTTTTAAGAACATTTTAGGGGATAAGGTTTAAGGTCTAAAGATTATCCCAGCGCAATAGATTTGGAAGTTCATCCAGCCTCTATGGTTCCAGAAAATCTGGATTCCATGGGAATATGAAATTCTGTTCTGTAATTTATAGCTTTTAATCAGGATAAAAAAATCTTCTGTAGAATCTTAGATAAAAAAATTCAGTAATGGTAGCCAAGCATCATCCTGTTCATGGTTTCATGGGCTATCCCAGTTAATTGGTCTAATATCATGTTTAGTGTTTCTGTTTCATCTCCTAGTATGTGGTGCCTGTGTCCTTAAAAGCTTGCAAACAGCCATCCAAGGTACAATAATTGGTCTCTATTAACCTGGAGCAATAGAGGAAGAAGGAGAGACAAGAATAAGAAGAAGAAATGGAATGTGTGGTTAATTGTCTCCATGTGCAACTGCATCCATTGTCATGAGACTAGCAGCACTGGATGGAGCTCACCTACCATTTTAACCATTTTTAAGTGTACAATTCAGTGACATTAATTACTTTTCCCATGTTGTATAACCATCACCACTATCTATTTCCAAATATATGTCATCACCCCAAACAGAAACTCAATATGCCTTAAGCAATAATTTCACATTTCCCCCACCCACTCACCACTGCTGTTGTTCTTAAGCGCTCTTTAGTTGGTTCCAACTTATAGAGACCACATGTACAATAGAAAGAAACACTGCCAGATCCTTCACCATCCTCACGATCACTGTTATATTTGAGCCCGTTGTGACAGCCACTGTTTCAATCAGTCCCATAGAGGATCTTCTTCTTTTTTGCTAACCCTCTACTTTACCAAGCATGACGTCTTTCTCCAGGCACTGTTCCTTCCTGATAACTTGTCCAAAGTACATGAGAGAAAGTCTCGCCATCCTCGCTTCCAAGGAGCATTCTGGCCGTACTACTTCCAAGACAGATTTGTTCGTTCTTCTGGAAGTCCATGGTATATTCAATATTCTTCACCAACACCGTAATTCAAAGGTGTCAATTCTTCATCTGTCTTCCTTATTCATTGCCCAGATTTTGCATGCATATGCAGCAGTTGAAAATACCATGGCTTGGGTCAGGCATACCCTAGTCCTCAAAGTAAAATCTTTGCTTTTTAACACTTTAAACAGGTGTTTTCCAGTAGATTTGCCCAATGCAATACACCATTTGATTTCTGAACTTCTGCTTCCATGGGTGTTGATTGTGGATCCAAGTAAAATGATATCCTTAACAACTTCAATCTTTCCTTCATTTATCATAATGTTGTTTATTGGTCCAGTTGTGAGGATTTTTGTTTCTTGAGGTTGAGGGGAAATCCATACTGAAGGCTGTAGTCTTTAATCTTCATCAGTAAATGCTTCAAGTCCTCTTCCCTTTTAGCAAGCAAAATTGTATCATTTGCATATTGCAGGTTGTTAATGAGTCTTCCTCCAGATGACAGGATTCTTCTTCATAAAGTCCAGCTTCTCGAATTATTTGCTCACAAATTGAATAAGTATGGTGAAAAGATACAACCCTGACACATAACTTTCCTGAGTTTAAACCATGCAGTATCCCCTTGTTCTGTTCAAAAAACGTCCTCTTGGACTATGTACAGGTTCCTCATGAGCACAAATAAGTGTTCTGGAATTCCCATTCTTCCCAATGTTATCCATAGTTTGTATGATAGACACAGTCTAATGACTTTGCCTAGTCAATAACACACAAGTAAACATCTTTCTGGTATTCTCTGCTTTCAGCCAAGACCCATCTGACATCAGCAATGATATCCCACACTTCACATCATCTTCTGAATCCAGCTTGAGTTTCTGGCAGTTCCCTGTCAATGTACTGCTGCAACGACTTTTGAATGATCTTCAGCAAAAATTTACTTGTAGGTGGAATTAATGATACTGTTCAATAATGTCTGCATTCTGTTGGATCACTTATCTTCGGAATGGGGACAAATATGGATCTCTTCTAGTTGGTTGGCCAGGTAGCTGTCTTCTAAATTTCTTGGCATAGACAAGTAAGCACTTCCAGTGGGGCAACCATTTGTTGAAACATCTCAACTGGTATTCCATGAATTCCTGGAGCCTTGTTTTTCACCAATGCCTTCAGTGCAGCTTGGACTTCTTCCTTCAATAACATCAGTTATTGATCACATGCTATCTCCTGAAATCACTGAATGCTGATCTATTCTTTTCGGTAGAGTGACTCTGTGTATTCCTCCCATCTCCTTTTGATGCTTCCTGTGTCATTCAATATTTTGCTCATAGATTCCTTCAAAATTGCAACTTGAGGACTGAATTTTTATTTCAGTTCTTTCAGCTTGAGAAATGCTGAACATGTTCTTCCCTTTTGGTTTTCTAAGTCCAGGTCTTTGCACATATCGTTATAATACTTTGTCTTCTTGAGCTGCCCTTTGAAATCTTCTGTTCAGCACTTTTACTTCGTCATTTCTTCTATTTGTTTTAGTTACTCGACCTTCAAGAGCAAGTTTCAGAGTCTCTTCCGACATCCATTTTGGTCTTCTCTTTCTTTCTTGTGTTTTTAATGAACTTTTGCTTTCTTTATGTATGATGTCTTTGATATCTTCCCACAACACTCCTGATCTTTGGTCTTTAGTGTTCAATGCGTCAATTATATTCTTGAGATACTCTCTAAATTCAGGTAGGATATACTCAAATTCGTACTTTGGCTCTGGTGGACTTTTTCTAATTGTTTTCAACTTGAACTTGAACTTGCATATGAGCAATTGATGGTGTGTTCTGCAGTCTGTCCCTGAGTTTGTTCTGACTGATGATATTGAAATTTTCCATCATCTCTTTCCACAGATGTACTCAGTTTTGTTCCTGTGTTTTCCAATTGGTGAGGTCCACTCGTATAATCATCAACTATGTTGTTGAAAACGGTATTTGCAATGAAGAAGTCTTTAGTCTTGAAAATTTCTATCATGCGATCTCCGGCTTCGTGTCTATCACCAAGGCCATATTTTCCAACTACCAATCTTTCTTCTTCATTTACAACTTTTGGATTCCAACCACCAGTAATTATAAATGCATCTTGATTGCTTGTTTGATCAATTTCAGGCTGCAGAAGTTGGTAAACATCTTCAATATCCTCATCTTTGGCATTAGTGGTGTGTAAATTTGAATAATAATTGTATTAACTGGTCTTCCTTGTAGCCGTATGGGTATTATCCTATCACTGACAGTGTTGTGCTTCAGGATAAATCTTGAAATGTTCTTTGGACAATGAACATGACACCATTCCTCTTTGATTTGTCATTCCCAGCCTAGTAGATTATACGATTATCTGATTCAAAATAGCCAATACCAGTCCATTTCAGCTCACTATTGACTAGGACATTGATCTTTATTTGTTCCATTTCATTTTTGATGATTTCCAATTCTCCTAGATTCATACTTGGTACATTCCACATTCTGATCATTAATGGGCATTTGCAGCTGTTTCTTCTCATTATGAGTCTTTCCACATTAGCAAATGAAGGTCCTGAAAGCTTGACTCCATCCATGTCATTGAGGTCGACTCTATTTTGAGGAGGCAGCTTTTCCCCAGTTGTATTTTGACTGTCTTCCAACCTGAGGGGCTCATCTCTTGGCACTATATCAAACAATGTTTCACTGCTATTCATAAAGTTTTCACTGGCCAATTTTTTCAGAATTAGACTGTCACGTCCTTCCTATTCTATCATCTTATTCTGGAAGGTCCGCTGAAGCGTCTCCAGCAAGAGTGACCCTGCTGGTATTTGAAATACAGGTGGCAAACTTTCCAATATCGTAACAACCTGCAAGCCACCACATTATGACAAACTGAGAGACACGTGACCCACCCTTAGTAACCACTAATAATTTTTTTCTGTGCATGTACTTACTGTAGATATTCCATAAGCATGAGATCATACAATGTTTGTCCTTTTGTATCTCACTTGTTTCACTCAGCGTATTTTAAAGTTTCATCCATTTTGTAGTATGTATCAATATTCATTTAACTTTTTGGCTGAATAATATTTCATTGTACAGCTAGACAAAATTTTGTTTATTCATTTATCTGTTAATGGACATTTGGGTTTTTTTCACCTTTGAGCTATTGTGGATAATGCTGCAA